ACTTGATATTCAATTTTTTTAGATTGACTTTTAATTTTGTTGGGGGTTATGTGAGTATATTATCTATTATTTTCAATAAGATAATGTTTGGTTGATTTAACATTTTCAAAAGAAAAAACAAAAATGTTTTGTCCTTAAAGTGTGTTTGTCAAACACGACCTTAAGATATTTTTTAAAACTTTTGGTTTTTAGTTAAGAGAGATTTTTGCAAATACACTATATTGATTTTCTAGCAATGTTTATTTTTTTAATTTTTGTATTTGCCAAATATACCTCAAATAATTTTCAAAAATCCTAAAAAAATTAGAGACCATTACAAAATTATTTGTGGATCCTTTATATTTTTTTTCTAATAATTTTATTTAATATTTAAGCTTTAAACTTATACTGTAAGATAGTAACTGAATATTAAATATAAATGTTTTTCTTTAGAATTTAGAAGAGTAAAAAAGATTTTTAAAAATTACTTATTTTAAAAAATAAAAAATATATTTTTATTTGTGTGTATATAAAAAAGTTCTAAAACTTTTTATGCATATTATATGCAATTTTTTTATATTTTTATTATTTTTTGACAAATTCAAGAAAAATTAGTTAATGAGTATCACAATAAGTTTAGTATCAAAACTTCAAAAATATTATGAAAAATAAGTTGTTCATTTAATTTTTATAATATGTATTTTACATAATTTTTTTGGATTTTAAGATATTTAGTTTTAATCTAATAAGATAATAATTTTCTCATCAAAAATTTTTTTTATCGAACTTTAAACAAATTAATAAATAAAAACATGAGTTTTAAAAAAATTAAATAACAATGTAACTTATTATAAATATGATGTACTGAGAGTAATGTGTTTTTTTCATATATAATTAATATTTTTAATCTTGTAAACTATTAAATTTTCTAGTAATTATAATAGAAAATAACAATTCCTAAACCCTATTAATAATATTTTTATGATTATTTCTTAACCCTTTCAAAACAGCCCTTTAATCCAGAAACCATACCCACCATCCAATGACATGCTTCACAATATTATTTTAAGTAATCGATTTCATCTAATTTAAAAGTCATTAACAGCAGTATTTGATTTGTATTACTTCTTTAATAATTTATAAATATCAAATATCATTTTTCAAAACAGCATACAAGAATGGATAGAAGACAATATCTCTTAGAAAAATCAGTCAAAAGTAACGGATTTGAAACGCCATCTCCAAAATCAATAAATGGAAGGACAAATGACATCAATATCTGTGACGTTGATTACTTATAATTTTCACGGAAAATCCTCACTTTATGGCCAAGAATCCTTCAAAGTTCAACATTTTGGTGACATTTTCACCTTATCTTAAAGAAAAGAGAAACAGAAGAGGATTGGTTTGTGGGTCTGACATGTCCATCGACACCGAGTCGCCTCGTTCTCTGCTGATATGTCCTCAACGTGTAGAGGTAGAGCTGTAAAATCAAAATTGAAAGAGAGGTAAGTGGCTTTGTATTCCTCAAGCTTCATTTTCGTTGTTTGAATCCACATGCAGATGTTAGGGAGTTCTGTAAGAGCTTCAACAAATCATAGACAACACTATTTTCTCGAAAACCCTTCGTTATTATCATCTCTTAGACACATCTCATCAAGCAAAAGCAATGGAAATGCAAATCAACACTCATTTACTGTTTCTTACCTCGTTAACAAATGTGGGTTTTCTCTAAAATCTGCATTAGAAGCTTCTAAACGTGTCCGTTATGAAACCCCACAGAAACCCGATTCTTTACTTGGCTTCTTCAAGGACCATGGCTTCTCAGAGAACCAAACTTTAAAACTTACCAGTAAATGCCCTGAACTGCTTTTGTACAATCCAGACAAAACCCTTTTACCCAAACTTGAGTTTTTGTATTCTAAAGGTGTTTCAACCGCTGATGTTGCTAAAATCATATCCTTCTACCCTTGGATTTTGAGATGCAGCTTAGAAAACCAGTTAGTCCCTACTTTTGATTTTTTGAAAAATTGGTTCCCAAATGATACCATTGTTCAAGTATTCAAAAGTAGTCCTCTTGTTCTTCAACTTAATCCTGTAACTGTGAAATATATTTCCCAGATTTTGCGAGATAATGGAGTGCCTGACAAGAATATTGTTATGCTAGTTCGTAGCCACCCTAAAACATTGTTGATGAGTCCAAAGAAATTTAACATGGTGCTGTGCAAAGTGAGGAAAATGGGATTAGATCCTTGCAAGACTCAGTTTGTCGTCGCGATCCTAGCATTGACGTCCATGAGCAGATCCACATGGGAAAAGAAACTTGATGTATATATGAGATGGGGTTTGTCCCATGAAGAGATTCTTGCAGCATTTGCAAAGTCTCCATGGTTTATGACCCTATCTGAAGAGAAGGTTGTGGCAGTGATGGATCTTTTTGTCAACAAATTGAGCTGGGAATCTTCTTTTATTGCCAAAAACCCAACACTTGTCTCGTATAGCTTGGAAAAGAGGCTCACTCCAAGGGCTTCGGTTTTGCAATTTCTAGTGTCTCAAGGTTTGATTGAGAAGAGTTTCAGAAGCACTACATTCTTCATTGCATCTGAAAATAAGTTCCTGCAGCAGTTCATAAATCAGCGTCCTGAATCTACCCAGATATTGAAACTGTACCAGGAGAAATTGAATCTTTCAAGATAAAGGATCATAGATGAAAAGGGTACAGTGGTTTTCTAGCAGTTCTAAGCTCTTTCACATTTTAATCACAATCACCTCATGTTTCCTTTGATTGTTTCAACTGATCTAATCGTGTCCTTTGTTTCTAATTTCACCATTTGATTTGGATGGAAAGGATGGATTGAGGTCTTGCAGTTCTAAACTCCTATTATTTTTCCTGATTTAATTCCAGTTGTAAAAGTACTGTAAATGAGTTATTGAATTCTTTGCTTTCATCCAGATTGAATCTTACGCTCAACAACAATTCTTTTGGTCATCCATCATGATTCAATAACAATCCCTTCCCTGTCTTGTGTGAACTCCATGATTGTTTTTATGTGGTCACTTTTGTGAATGTAGTTGAAAAATCCACACATATGCTGATATGGTCTGTAGACTTGAGGAATATTTTGGCTTCTGCAAGGCACTCTGCTTGATGGAAATTGCTCTGAGATTTCAAAGATAACGGTGCAACCTTCGTTCTTTGGATTCTTGCTTTCTCATACTTGTGGGAAACTTCTTGTAATGGTGGAACTCTACTGTGCTTGGTTCTTACAGAAAAATTGTGGATGGATACTGTGCAGAGACACCTTTTTTGCCATACTTTTTTGGTGGTGGGTGAGTAATGAAATTGGGAAACCATTAGCAAGACAAAGCAGACATTCTCTGGGATTGTTTCTTGATATAACTTGGGAAAATAATGCACACTTGTTTTAATATAGTTAATTTTGTATTTGGAAGCTTTCTTACTAAAATCTTTTGCTGCCATTGAGTAATTACGAGTTTGGCTTCATTTTACCTGGATATTCAGGCTTGTACGCCCGGTACTCTTCTTTGATATCGTTAGTGTAGACCGATTTTAGGTTTGCGATTCAACCACATGTACAGTAGTGGTGCAGTAGGATTGCTTTGCTGAGCAACTGAGAGAGTCTGAGAAGAATGACTTCCTGCCGCAAAGCCACAGTTCCTTTGTAAATATATGTGGCAACTTGGTTTGATGTTGAAAGTTGACGGAAAAACGAATAAAATGGCTTGTGACTGGAAGATCCAGTACAAGAACAAGTTGTGAGGGATCTTGTCAAGAGATCGGGTTGGGAACTTTTGTATGCTGCCAAAAACCCACCTCTTATAGCATGTAGCTTGGAGAAAAGGCTCGGCATCAGTTTGGCAATTTTAGTTTCTCAAGGTTTGTTCAACAAGAGTTTCACAAGCTAGATCATCTTTAACCCAGATTAACTGATCGATTACTTGTTTATTAAAGATAAATACATGAAAATTTGTAAAAATAAAAATTTATAAAAATCAGTTGATTGGTTAACTTGATTAATTAATCATTTTAACTTGTCTAGTTGAAGAATTTTATATAGAATTTGATTATTTTAAAAGCAAAAAATCTCAAATCATCTATTATTGTAAATCATTTCCCTAATCATTGAAGTGCATGCGTGATTCTCGTGTGATTCCCATAAGAAGAAGAAATTGGAGAAGAGTTTTCCTCCAATTCTTTTGCAAGGCATATGAAGCAATGCACACGTAACATTAAAATATAAAATCATAAATCTTCCAAGCAATAGTTCTAATAGCCGTTTACTCACATGTATTTCTTTCATATTATATTAAAGACGAATTTTCCATCTAATTTCATACACTTTTGTGAAGAGCATGTTGTTGATTTTTTAAAGATTTTGTTAGCTATATTTAACAAAATGATACAATTCAGAAGTAAATATTTTTATGGTATAATTGACAAAAAATACTTTTAATATACAATTGAGATTATTTTAATAGTTGTGTCGTAAATTTGAAGCTTGCCTTTCTTTTAGTTTTTGGTCATGTTGTGAACCTTGTCGGTGTGACAGTGACAGTGACTGTTCTTATGTGTTTACTTTTGTTGATAAAGCCACTTGAAAGAATCATTAAACATATGGAGAAACAAAGGTGGGTGATGTTTGGCTTTGGTTCTCCTTCGAGGTAAGAGCAGCTCCAACGGACGAGCCTAAGGTGCTGAGCTTGATGCCATTGTATTTGCTGTGAAATATTAAATATAATGGTTATTAAAATAATGACTTGCTTTCTCATGCTCTTGCATAGCTTCTTCTTGTATGGTGAAAACATGTTGTGCTTTTTAACGTACATGGATCTTTCTTTTTCTTTTTTTTTTCTTTTTTTTTTTCTGAACGTACATGATCTTATAGACACTGGTGAGAGAAAATAATTTGATTATTTAGAATGTCTTAAATTAACCAAAAATACAAATATGAGAAATCTAACAAAAAAATAGGTTAGAAAATTTATCTATAAAAAAATAGTTTGGCAGTTTTAAATTTTAAAAACCAAAAACCAAAAAAATCGAAGCACAATAAACAAAATTATAAAAGGATAAATCATATGCTTGTTTAAAAGTTTTTTTATTTTTTTTTATCTCTTTATTTTTTAGACCATATTTCTCAGTACACTTAAAAGATTCAAGTATACTTAAAAGATTCAAGATGCCAGCTCACCTCTTTCATTATTCAAATGAACGAAATGACTTTTTTAATTCATCTTTTTTTTTTCATCCCTCGTTTTTCTTTATTTTCATCCTTTGTTTTTTAATTTTATCCTTCAATATTTGCTTGATTTTGAATTTGTATTGATAAATTATTTTGATATGTTGTCCATGAGGTTATCACATTCTTAAACAAACATCTTGATATTTAGTTGTTTTTAATTTTATGAGCATCTATTTTTATTATCACATAAATAAGTACAAATAGTTAAAAAAATATAAAGTTTTAAACTCAATGGAGTTTATCACCCGAATTGTGAATTTGACAGGTTAAGTCGCGAAACTTAGGTTGATCCAATTTGATGACTTCTTAATATTAAAAAAAAGTCATCTTGAATTTTTTTTGAAGCCAAACCATGCTTTTTATTGTTCGTCTAAGTTGTCTTTGGACTCATCAAGTTGATTTGGTTTGTTGGGGCAACTCTCACATGGTCTAATTTTAAATCTGGGCTAACTAAGGAATCGGGTTAAGAGATTTCACAGTTAATTTGTTGGGTCAGGTTCAATAACAATACCAAATAGTTTTTTATAACATGAACATATTTGTTTTACATTTTTTTTTATTCAAGCCGTAATTTAATGTGGCCTTGTAAACTAGGAAATACTAAGTTTCTAAGAATATAGTGCTTTAATTTATATTAGTGGTATATTTGAGTTGTTAAATCCACCCATTTTGCCCCTAGCATAATGAAATAATGATCCACCTTTTTACGTAATATTAGCTATCTAGCTCATAGTCTGGTTGTTGAAAATAATTGAGGGGAGAGTGAAAATAATCAAGGGGAGAGTAGATAGAAAGAGAAAGAAAGTGCACTGGAAAAACATTCACGTATCATATCATATTACTCTTTTAAAAGAAGAAGTCCTATGAAAACTTGGACTTGGACTTAAATAAAATACTCTCAACACATATATTTATACTAGTCCATAAATAATTCTACATATTTAGATAATCACATCACTAATGTTCTACATACATGATTATTTAGTACTTAAAAGTGCATTTTTATCAAGGTTTTATATCATTATTTTGCACTTAAAGTATCAATAACTCCTTAACTAAAATATGTTTTATAATATCATGTCTAATACTATAAGATACCTTTAATTTATGGTAAATATTCATCTTAAATGCAAGCCTATCACATAAATAAAATAACTAATTGATGAGTTTAACTTCTAAAATTTAAAAGACAAGGAGAGGGCTAAGCTTAGAAAAAAGATGGTGTTTCAGTCCAAACTAGAATACTATTCAGTCATTGGATCATAATTGGAGCTGTAGAACTTGGATTTAGGTCTGCTCTATATGAATAGAAAGCTAAGATATGGGCCTAAAATATTCATGAGGAATGCAAGACTCAATTCTGTTGTTTGAAAGTTTAAACCTTAACAACAATAGAAAAGTTTTTCAATTTCAAATTGAAAAAGGCCATTTTCAATTTCAAATTGTAGTAACAACAGAGAAGTCTGAATTTGTCCTACAGCCCAAATATTATTCAGTGTTTAGCCCATATCTCTAGTTCTAAAAGTCCAAATAACTTTATTTTTTTAATTTAAAAGCTAAGACAATTTCCTAGAACTTTCATGGGACAGTCTGTTTAAATTCTAATGTTAGCAATGACGTTTTGATTAGACAAGAAGACAAGGATTGTCATCAAGTTAAGATGTGACCACCCACTTAACAATTAGTCAACAAATCAACAGTTTTAAATTTTGGCTTATAAAAAGAGGCATTTTCCATGCATTTAGACATCTTGGTTTTCATATAAAGATCATATTCTTGCTCTCTTTCTTTATATTTTTGTA